CACACACACACACACACACACACACACACACACACACACACACACACACACACACACACACACACACACACACACACACACACACACACACACACACACACACACACACACACACACACACACACACACACACACACACACACACACACACACACACACACACACACACACACACACACACACACACACACACACACACACACACACACACACACACACACACACACACACACACACACACACACACACACACACACACACACACACACACACACACACACACACACACACACACACACACACACACACACACACACACACACACACACACACACACACACACACACACACACACACACACACACACACACACACACACACACACACACACACACACACACACACACACACACACACACACACACACACACACACACACACACACACACACACACACACACACACACACACACACACACACACACACACACACACACACACACACACACACACACACACACACACACACACACACACACACACACACACACACACACACACACACACACACACACACACACACACACACACACACACACACACACACACACACACACACACACACACACACACACACACACACACACACACACACACACACACACACACACACACACACACACACACACACACACACACACACACACACACACACACACACACACACACACACACACACACACACACACACACACACACACACACACACACACACACACACACACACACACACACACACACACACACACACACACACACACACACACACACACACACACACACACACACACACACACACACACACACACACACACACACACACACACACACACACACACACACACACACACACACACACACACACACACACACACACACACACACACACACACACACACACACACACACACACACACACACACACACACACACACACACACACACACACACACACACACACACACACACACACACACACACACACACACACACACACACACACACACACACACACACACACACACACACACACACACACACACACACACACACACACACACACACACACACACACACACACACACACACACACACACACACACACACACACACACACACACACACACACACACACACACACACACACACACACACACACACACACACACACACACACACACACACACACACACACACACACACACACACACACACACACACACACACACACACACACACACACACACACACACACACACACACACACACACACACACACACACACACACACACACACACACACACACACACACACACACACACACACACACACACACACACACACACACACACACACACACACACACACACACACACACACACACACACACACACACACACACACACACACACACACACACACACACACACACACACACACACACACACACACACACACACACACACACACACACACACACACACACACACACACACACACACACACACACACACACACACACACACACACACACACACACACACACACACACACACACACACACACACACACACACACACACACACACACACACACACACACACACACACACACACACACACACACACACACACACACACACACACACACACACACACACACACACACACACACACACACACACACACACACACACACACACACACACACACACACACACACACACACACACACACACACACACACACACACACACACACACACACACACACACACACACACACACACACACACACACACACACACACACACACACACACACACACACACACACACACACACACACACACACACACACACACACACACACACACACACACACACACACACACACACACACACACACACACACACACACACACACACACACACACACACACACACACACACACACACACACACACACACACACACACACACACACACACACACACACACACACACACACACACACACACACACACACACACACACACACACACACACACACACACACACACACACACACACACACACACACACACACACACACACACACAATGCAAGTGGGTACATTCACACATACAGCACCCCCTCAAAATTCTAGCCTATAGTGTCTAAATACGTGTCTAAGTGACGAAATATAGAAATAGACGGATAGACAGAGGCAGACAGAGAAAGATAGATGGACATACATGCCCTTCTTGAAAAATTGCTCTTAAAATTATAAAATCTTAAATCGATCATATATCACAAAATCAGTGAAAATTCTGCGTGAGAGCATTAATTAACTATTCAGTAAATTGCCGAATGTAATATTACAAATAGACAAACAAGAATGGAACTTCCCGGATAATTTCATATAATCATGTAACTATAGTGGTTAAGACAGATAAAATTTTTATTAATTTCTCATAATTTCTAGCATGCTTTGCATACTTTCAATAACGATTTTTTCTCTCTTATATCTAGGTTCAGCAGCTTAACCTTCACTTCAAAAACACATGCTAATTGAGGAAAGAAAACTACTGCCTCATATTAACTCTAATAGCTCTAATCAAGGGTAAATCCGATATGCGAAGTTGAGCCTCGCTCGGGCTATGAGGGGAGCCCAGCCTGTGTCGACTAATGCCGACTCGCTAATGTGTGTCAGCTGGTGCTGACTCGGCTTTGTCCTTACCCGCCGTGGTGCCCAGCCACAGCAGTGACCTCCAGGCGACAATTGCAACTTCTCGCGCCTGGGCGGGGCGCGAACCGCCGACCCCTCGCCGACACGTTACCACCGTACTAGCCTGAAGGCTAAGCCTGCTAAATTTGGGCGCATTATATCACCTCTTGATCTGGCTCAAGAACAGAAATTATCCAAGAACGAAAGAAGTATAATTTATTTATCACCCTATGTCTCATTCATTATATTTGATATATATATATATTTTTTTTATTGCTGAACGTGAGCTTTTCTCTGCCCTTGTCCCCGATTTCCCATTACAGAGACTTCGTGACAAACTGACGGTTGCATTTACTTATTCATGATTGTATGAGTCTGCAAAGCACAGACTCATATAGCACAGGAACACACACAAACACCCCTACATACACTATGACACACTTACACACACACACACACACACATAAATGCAAGTGGGTACATTCACACATACATGCACAGTTACACACATACCTACACAACTACAAGACACACCCGAACTCACTCACACCCGACCCACACAAAACCCCCTCCCCCCCGCCACACAAATGCATCCGTGTGGGAAATTCCGAAGGGTGAATCCAGCAGTTGCATTCACCCGCCACAACGGAGCTTCCGCTGTCCATTTCTAGTTCAGGGTGAACATCTCTTCCTGAATATTTGACTCTCACATTATCGCTTTTATGTAGTGTTTTTATGACTGTATCTAATTACGTTTTTCAAAGGAAGGCAGAGAGGGGGGAAGGAGGTGGGTGAATATGAAGAATAAATTAGAGGAACAAACTGATGTTGTTGCGATTGCTCGGATGATATCAAGTATTACATCATAATTTTTTATGAAGTCATGTAACCCAATTTTGAGGTTATCCAAAATAAAAAATGAAAATTTTGTTTCTGAGAATGCAAGTAATGGTTTGATGCACCTTTACGTTATATATATATATTTCTACCAAATCTATTCAATAGTTTTTTTTCTAATTTCTTTCAGTTTATTCACTTATATTTATAAAAAATATATGTATATATCATCACACAATATATATAAGTTTACCCTGAAAAATTTGCTAATTTTCTATATACCATTTGCGTTTCGTTTTCTGTAATTATTAAGCAATAACTAAGTAAAAGTGATTGTAAAAGTATCATTACAATTCTAAAAAAACATACATCCTGGAAATATGTTAGTGCTGTGAAAAGTAAATATACTTTTTATAGAAATGAACACATACCTTTACAACTAAAATAGTAGTAAACAAATGTACAACACACCAGTTTGATCTAACAATTTAAACGTTAGTATTTAATAAGGAAAATAAACCCACAGCGATAATATTGACATTGAGACTTAGCTCAGTGGCGGTTTGAGAAAGCCTGATGAAACCCTGGACTGAACTTAAATCCTTGAAAAAATATGTATCAGCTAATCTACTGGAGAGTTTTGATATGAAACTATTTTACACATGGTTTATTAATTTCGAAAATCTCGCTACAGCAGTACTGCAATATCCCAGAATGGCTACCAGTGTCTATAGTTCTGGAATATTTTCCACCGAAATAGTTCTATCTGTGGTATTTCTTTCTGACCCCCCCCCCTCTCCCGCGTCGCAGTCAGCACAGTAAACTGCATCTTTTTCTGCTCTACGAATTACTGCTGCTCGAAGCCAAATAAACATAGGCTATATGGCCAAATGACAGGCAAGAAATTCGCCAGAACTTAAATCTGATTTCACTTTGGAAACCTGTGGCACTTGTAGGTACGTGCCATGGGCTGTTTGGGAAGCAGTGGTCTATATCAAGAAGAGAATCCACAACAATTAGGAATATGTAACAAAATTAAACATTATGAACTTTCATCTGTTTAAAACCATGGAGGACACGTGAATGTTTACATAATAAACAAATTTGACTAACATTAATTATTTGATACACGAATCCTCACCAAAACGCAAGAATATCATGACTTTATAACCATCAATAAATGCACGAATTCCCAGCAGTACATACCAATACCATAACTTAAATCAATATTATATTAACACACGAATTCTCATCAACACAAAACGTGATGTTGACCTACACTAATACTTAAAAGATGTATTTCCAACCACACATAACTTTTAACCTAAGCGCTAACCTCAAAACTGCAAGTCACGTTAAAACCTCACTTTATCACCCGTCCTTGCTGTGCGGGAA